GGGCCTGAGGCTGCATCAGGGGAGGGAGAGGAGAGGTCCCCTGAGTCAGTCTGGGGTGGACAATGTGGGCAGGCGGGGTCTGTGGCCATGGGCCTAACACCAAGGAGCATAGTGCGTGAGGATGTAGGAATGGCTGAGGGTCCTTGGTGCCTAATGCCTAAACCAAGCCTTGATTGTCACATGCTGGGAGCAAGGAGGGAAGGATCTGGAAGCTACAAAGTTCTGATGAAATAGTTTATCACACACCTCTATTTTCATGCATTTTTGAACCTACTTTAGTCTTTTTTTCCACCCAAACGACATTTAATGACCTTGGTGTGTGTCCAGGCATCAACACAAGGTGATCAGAGCTGAGACCTATCCCACTGGCTTTCCAGCCTGTGACTTGGATCCCACCCTCCCTGACAGCTGGAGATGTGGGCAGGGGTCTGCTGCTTGCCCCATGGAGGTCAAGGGACCATGACAGGGTCACTGTGGACTCACCAGTGGGAGTAGTTGCTGTGGCCTGGTGGGTGTAACCTGCAGCAGGAGAGGGGGAGAGAGGCGCGGGGGAGAATGAGTATGAATGTGTGAGTGGTAAGGACGAAGTCCGCCCAGTCGTGGAGGATGCGTGCTCTACCCTAGAACACAGCACGGGTGGCCCCTGCTCACCATTGACATAGAGATTGTTCTGGTCCAGGGTGAAGGGGCCCAGCTGGGTGATGCCGTGGGTCAGTGGGCTCAGCTCCCAGTACAGCTTCTCTCTGTCCAGCTTGGGGCCCAAGGGGTCAGGATGGTAGGTGCAGACAGTGTCCACCCTGGTGGCTGATCCATCATTTTCAGACCTGCGGAGAGCAGGGGGGATGAGTGCATGTTCAGAGAAAGGACCAGAGATACCTCTGATTAGGGCAGAAAAGTTACAGAGAAAATGAGGAGGCCCTGGAAGGATGAGAGCTAGACTGATCATCCTGTGCACTGACTTCTGGATGGCCTCCCCCTGGGAGAGGAGGTGGCTGACGGGAAAATATTCCTGATGTTGTAGAATAAAAATGCAACCTTATCACTTGAGGACAGGTGGGTCCCAGGTGTGACAGGTGGAGAACTGGAGTTGGAGATTTAGACAAACTTATAAAGTGTATCTGTCAGAAGATACATACCCATAACTGAACCCATCATCTAAAGGATATGCCCATCTTGTAAAAGGGAGAAGGGAGGGAGGGGATGAGGGTCATTGATACAGATGGACAGAATTGGAGACTGGTCAGGAGGGGGAATTAGAAGGGTAAAGGGAGGCCTTGGTGCTGGAGCTGATGCCTCCTGAGACCATCTCTGAGGAGGACAGGAAGGACAGGGGGGCAGGAGGAAGCACCCACACTGCTTGGGCCTGGGAGCTCCAGTGATCCCAAGTCTCACCTGAGCAAAGTCAGTCTGCAGCCAGAGTACAGGGGACCCACACTGGTGTTCTTGAACAAGGGTCCGAGCTGTGGAGGAGAGAGAGG